GTTACGGTAAAGCCATTGACTTCTATACAAAAATTGTCGTCGTCTTCATTTATTTTGCTTTACTTCCTTAATTATTTTTGTTATTATCATCGATTCTTTTCTAACAACTCTAAGAAGTCATGAGTTCCCTAGTTTTATTTTTTTGCTTAGTTTTATGTTTAATTGTTACAACATATGTATACAAAACGTGTACATTTAAAGTATCAAAAAACCTGTACAACATTGATGGTTAAAAAGGGCTATTGTCCTTGTAAGGTTGCCTGTTCGATTCTCCATATTCTCTTATTTCTTTTACCCACATCCATGTAATCATGTTTCAGCTACGCTTGTGGAACGACGTCGTCCTAGGGACACTCTCGCTTTAGCAGTGAGCACAAACGACGACGTTTGTAAGATCGATTGAATCCGACAAAATAGACATAGATACTGCTTCCTCATACTTCAGATTTGCAATGAAACCAGGCTCAACCATAAGGTCGCTATAAATAAAACCGTTAGTAATGGCTGACAATAGGAAAAGGAAGCGGAGTAGACTGTTGTAACGATTAGTTGGTAAACAATACTTACGGGTACCATTGCGATATATCATCCATTGTTAGAAAATTACAGCACGGAAACCCTACTCAATTTCTGTTTTTGCACGTACTGTGGATGTTCAATAGGAGTATAAGAACACATTATGATCAACTATTCTAATAGAACGTACCAAATAGTTAACAATCAATTAAAGAAAAGTACCTGTGGCGGTGGAAACGTAACCGGCGACACCGCGTGGTTAGTCGAGCAGATCGGGAATGAATCAGCGGCTGAGGTGGCAAGCGACGATGGTGGCCCGCTCTTCTTCCCACAACCAACGTGGTTAGTCCTGACGACTTTCCTCGGCTCTTCTTCCCACAAACGCTAGAGCGAATCACCGGCGGAGGTGGCAGACGACGATGGTGGCCCGCTCTTCTTCCCACAACCGACGTGGTTAGTCCGGGCGACTTTCCTCCGCTCTTTTTAATTCCCACAACCGCTACAGCGAATCAGCGGCGGAGGTGGCAGGTGACAATAGCGGCCCAGAGGAGGAGACCGCTACTGAGCGACCAGTGGTTGATTGACCGGCGGAGGCGGAGACGTGCAAGCAACGTAGGCGGAGACATGCAACGGAGGCGGAGGGAGAAGGAGGGCGGTTGAGTATGTGTCTGAAGGAAAACAGAGAAGGCAGCGCATGGGGAGGGGAGAAAAAGCAGAAGATGAATCGTTTGCTAGATTTGGTAGGTAAGTAGTCTTCCAATTTCCAACTTTGCCATTATTGTTCTCTTTTTTTTTTTTTGACAATTCATTATTGTTAAAGAGACAAAGGGAGGACAACCGCCGATCTGCTCGACTAAACCTTATTGGGCCTGGTACAAAAGGCCTGCTTAGTTTTGTTTTATGTTTTAATTTTACAAGAACTCATTTTATAATTATAAATATAACAGTTGAAATATATTGAATCAAAACGCTTGTTCAGCAGCAATGGTGAAAAATGCTCATGGTAATGACCAGGACGCTGGTTCGACCCTCATACCATTTCAAATTTTTTTGTTTTCAGCTACACCTATAGAACGACGCCGTTCACCAGGCCACTTTCGATTCAGAGACGAGCACAAAACGATGGCCTTTTTTCATGTATCGTCGTCTTCCCTGCCCCCCCCCCCCCAAATTCCCAATTATCCAGTTGTCGCCGTCACCACTCACCACCGTAATCCGACGGCCGTCTCTCTTCATCGTCCAAACTTTCTCACTCCGTTACGATTCTGGACTCCGACCAAGAGAATTCCCTTGACGAGACCCAATCCCCTCCCTCCATTTCAGCCTTAGTCATTGTTTACACGACGTAAAGATCATAGTCGTTCACCGTCAATTGCTTCGGATTCGTCGCGAAAGGGTAGCTGTCATCTGCGACCTTAAAAACAGATGATGAGCCAAAGTCGATGTAGGTCGGAAGCAGGGACGATGGTGATGATGGTAAAATTAGGGGTTTCCAATTGGGGTATCTAGAAAAAACGTAATGACGATGATGGTGGTTTAGGATTGTCGAATTGGGGCAACCTTTTAATGGAACTTTATTTTATCAATTGTATAATTTTTGGGTGTTCATTAAAAGATCTTGAAGAAATAAGGTATCATCTGAGTTCTCACAAAAACAAATAGGTATCATGTGAGAAAATAGAATGATAATTATTATTTGGGGGCTTCATAGCACATATAATTATTTAAGGGGTGCAAGTACTAATTATTATTACTAATTTTAATATAATTTATAATGACCGTTAGATTAGATCTACGGTAGAGAATCCTGTCGCATAATATGTGTCTGACGCATACGAGTCGTATCCATATATATATATATATATATATATATATATATATATATATATATATATATATATATATAAATAATAGCAAATATTCTTTACAACAAGTAATACAACATCCTGTCAAAGAAAAAGTGAACAATATAACATCTTTGGGTTAATTGCATGGTTGGTCACTGAAATTACAAAAAACGTTTAAGTCTGGTCACTCAAAATATTTAAATCCATTGGTGGTACTTCAGTTTACTCAAACCGTTCACGTTTGGTCACTCTCCGTCCAACTCCGTTAACTTTACCTGATGTGGCAGTCAACTCTCAAAGTTGACCGTTAACTTAGTGATGTGACAACTAAAAAATTATTAAAAATAAAAAATTAAATTTTTATATTTCCAGCTCATTATTACATTCATTAAAAAATCAGGTCAAGTCAGTTCAACCCATGTATATAGAGAAGGCAAATGTTTATGGTAAACAATTAGTACATATAACCTTTGCAATGATTATTTTGCCGGAAATTAGACAAGCATTGTTCAACAAAGACGAAACAGGAACAATGAAGATGATTTTTTATTTGCCTTGCCAATCGGTTTTTGTTACCCCTTGGAAGAAGGAGAACAAAAAACAGAAAAAACAATTCTTACATACAGAAAGACAAAGTAAAAAAATCCTCAAAATGGGACGACCTCACTGTAAACGTAATCGGCGGAATTATCGGCGGAATCCTCCGGCCACGAAGCGATTCTTGTCCGAGTCGCGGGCAAGGCCCTTGAGCCTCCTCATTGTTACATTTTCCCCTCATTATTACATTCTTTTTTATTTTTTATTTTTTAATGAATGTAATAATGAGGTGGAAAATATAAATTTTTTTTTTATTTTTAATAATTTTTTAGTTGCCACGTCACTAAGTTAACGGTCAACTTCGAGAGTTTACTGCCACATCAGCCAAAGTTAACGGAGTTGGACGGAGAGTGACCAAACTTGAACGGTTTGAGTAAAGTGAAGTACCACCAATGGCTTTAACTATTTCAAGGGGTTAAAGACACATTTGGTCACTGAGATTACAAAATCGGGACATGTTTAGTCACTAGAAAAATTTAATATCAAATTTGGTCACTACAATTACTAAAACTGGATGCATTTAGTCACTCGCCGTTAGTCTCTGTCCAACTCCGTTAATGAAGTCCGTTAAGTGCTGATGTGGCAAACAGAATTGCCTAATCAGCCATATATAACCCAACAAAAATAAAACCCGACCCGCCACGTCATTATAACCCACCACGTCATTAAAACCAACCCAACCCATGACCCAACCCTACCCAACCCTTCTTCCTCCTTCCTCCCACCTCGGCACCTCCCAGGCTCGATTGAGCAACGCCGTCGACGAGCCCGCTGTTGACTTTTTCCTTAATTGGTTATGAGTTAGAGAGAGAGAGAGAGAGGGAGAGACAAGTCTTGGAATTGCGGGAGGAGGTGGGAGGAAGGAGGAGCAAAGGAATTCCCAACATCCCATCCCAGTTCGAAAGAGCAAGATCCATCCCAACATCGTAGTTCCATTGACGGATTCCCACGCTTCCATCCAGTCTCAGCCGAGGAGCAACGGAATGATGTCGTGGCTGTTTCCGAGGCTGAGGAAGAAGCCCATGAAGAACGCAGCTACTACTTCGCCGGTGAGAGCAGAGTCCGAGGAAGCCTCGCATGCATTCGGGGAACTGGGTTTGCTGTCGATCGAGAATCTGCGGAGGGAGTTGAGGGAATCGAATGAAACTAGCGACGCAGCATTGACAGAAGTCGCGGAAACGAGAGCTTCGTTAGGCCCACTGAGGCAAAAGATCGAACACCTGGAGGGCTACTGCGAGGAGCCGAAGAAGGCTCTGAAATCCGCCACGAGATCCAAAGGGCAAGCCAAATCAATCGATGGGTACTCACAAAACAACAACTCGAATCATCATCCATCCATTCTCCCAGTGACCGACGAAGCAATGGTGGAAGGGTCCTCCAAATGGTGGCCGAATCCAGACTCTCAGTGAAACAATTCTGCAAATCCCGAATCTCCCAAATCAAAGACGACACTGCCGATTCCCCACTGATCGAAACCCTGCTCTCCCTCAATTCCAACCATCCCAAGACGATCCTCCACCACCTGGAATCCATAACCAACGACACGATGCACCAGGAGGCCTCGTAGGAGAGCGGCGGCGGTGGTTTTGGGGAAAGAAGGAGGTGGGAGGTGCCGAGGTGGGAGGAAGGAGGAAGAAGGGTTGGGTGGGGTTGGGTCATGGGTTGAGTTGGGTTGGGTTGGTTTTAATGACATGGCGGGTCGGGTTTTATTTTTGTTGGGTTATATCCAGCTAATTAGGCAATTCTGTTTGCCACATCAGCACTTAACGGACTTCATTAACAGAGTTGGACGGAGACTAACGGCGAGTGACTAAATGCGTCCAGTTTTAATAATTGTAGTGACCAAATTTGATATTAACTTTTTCTAGTGACTAAACATGTCCCGATTTTGTAATCTCAGTGACCAAATGTGTCTTTAACCCCTATTTCAAGTGACCAAACTTGAACGTTTTTTGTAATCTCAGTGATCAACCATGCAATTAACCCTAACATCTTTTGAACACAAAAACCAAATAGAAAGTTTGTAAGAATGTAACTATAACCACGTCGACTTTCTTCCACTAATGCAATCCAACAATTTACTTTTGGTTCGGCTTGGAAAACAATAATTGAGCTTTGCATCATCTTTGTTATCTGCATATGTACCTGCAACTATAAGGAAGTTAAGTTGGGGATAATCCTTGAAACCAAATGATGATGATGATGATGATGATGATGATGATGATGATGATGATGATGATGATGATGATAATGATAATAATAATAATAGTAATAATAATAATAATAATAATAATAATAATAATAATAATATGGTCTTTGCAAGGTGCAGTAGTGAGTGAAAGTGTACATGTAGCATTGATTCAACTCACAAGTCTTCTAGTAGTAGTAGTTTAAGCTACTCCTCAAATCTGGTCGATCTGTGTACAAAGTTGAATCGCAAATAACAAAGTCAACTGATTAATCAATCAATGATCACAAGCAACCAAACTTTAGCTTATAGTAAAGAAGAATAATACACAGGCTCATATAGTCAACGAACATACCTTTTAGTCCTTCATCTTCTGAATGAAGAGCTAAGGGATTACAAAATAAACCTCATAAACAGAGATTAATGGTCAATCATAATGAACAGAAGAAAATTTTCATTACCAAAAACAACCCAAAAAGCTTCAATAAGAACATGTTCCAATTCAGGATAATATGGATACCACTTCGATGAATTAAGAGCACTAGAGCCTTTACCACTACAAGTCTATACCAGCATAATCTAGAAACCATGTGTTTCGGTGAGAAGACATTTAGCTCAATGCTTTTTCGACATCGGTTGTAATGGTTGATTTAATTTTCTTCATATCTAATCCAGCCAATTGTGCTCACATATATCATGTCAATGAAACCGGAATGATAATGCACAAACTTAAAACAATTAAAAAAGAACTTTAATAAAAAAGCTTCGAAAACGAAAAAAAATACAGATCAACGCGATACCTCTACTTAGCTCTGTCTCTATTTTCCTATTTGCTTTGCCGATGCATAATGGGACCGGACCTTCTTTGCGGGGACTGACTTCCATTCCTCCTAGCATCTCTATTGCTTTCGCTAATTCTTCAGATAATATGAATAAGATCAATCTCTCTCAGCCCGCATCCAGGATCCGGTTTGTATCCATTTGTTTTGCCTTCGCCTTATTCCTGCCGCCAATCGAAGACAGACTCTTCAAAAACCCTTCGCTCTCTCCCTTTCTTGGAAAATCCTAAATTATCAAAGTCCTTTTCCTTTTTAACTTCCTTTACTCCCCGCTTTTAACAAACTTTCCCCGCTTTTTTCACCTATTTGTTCCCTTTCTCATTAAAATTGTTAATGCTAAATTGCTAATCGGGAGATATTATTATTCATTATAGACTTGTGCCTAATCAATTAATATAGCTCTTTTTCTACCAAAAACAATTAATATAGCACGTTTTCTTTTTGGAATTTGCTACCATAACTTCCAACTTAATTAGTAATAATAATTTATCGTGATTTGGAGAATTAGATAACTAACACATACGATTCACTCATTCAATTTTAGAGTACAATATTATTCCTCAAAATTTGGTTCATTCAAGGTCTAGATATCATTTTATCACTAAGGATATGCGGTACCCTAGATTATACCCATATATATGGTAAAGACTGGATGGTTCTATCGCATCCTTGTGTAAAATCTAAGGTATCAGCTTAATTAGGAACAATAATCAACAATTATGACTTGTCGTAATATATGCGACAAAATACATCCACCATTTTAGGGTTTAGGGTCTATGATTTAGACAACTAAGGTCTAGGATTCACTCATCAAGGGTTAGGGTATATTACTCGTGCCCCAAAATCCGGTCAATATGTCGTATCTTTGATTTACTCAAGGTACGATAGAAGGCACCATATATATATAAGATCAATAAGATTGAAAAATTAAAACCATGTAACATCCATTTATTAGAAATCATGATATAGAAGAAAATTAACTAAGTTTGTGCTCTTGGTCTTTTGTACCATTTCAGTTACCATAGTTTGCTGCTATATCATATTTTTCAGAAAACAATACCTAATTGCTTGAATTAGTTTAATTTGTTAACTTCTTAATAAAAATTCCTTTATTGTTGAAATGCAGTTATATTTTTTGGGTGGGAAAAATTCAATGAAATTGGCTTTGGAATATTACACAATTTTACTTACACATTAACGTTTCGTAGTATTTTGGTTAAGTTTATAGCTACATTAACAAGACAACTATAACTACTTCACATCAATAGTTACCAGCTGTTTCCAAGGGCTTAAACAAGTATGAATAAATTTATTTTTGTCCACAAGTTGTCCTTACTCTAGCTAAATGCATCAATTAGCTACCATATTCTAAGTTCTAACTGTAGCCAAAATTATAATAGCTAAAACATTATTGTTACAGTTCGTAAGCTTTAAATAATCAAAGGACACCATTAGCTATGAACAATTCTATTTGTGACTGGAATGATCATAAATAGCTATAAATAGTTATTTACTCTAGCTGAACATGCCAATTAGCTACAATATTTTGACAGTAGCAAAAACTTTGTAGCTAATAGGTTACATATAGCCATGGTGTATAAACTTTAAATCAAAATCATATAATTAGCTATAGGCAAATATATTTTGGCTAGAATAATTATTAATAGCCACAAGAGGGGATTTGTGAAGCAACTACTTATTATTAGCTATGAAGTATTATTCGTATTTATGTTTTTGTCGGGAAAAAATCCCAAAGTACATAAGTTCTTAAAAAAAATTCACAAAATACATAAGTTATAAAAAAAATTCCAAAAGTACACATGTTTCACATTCACCTTTTTTACAAACGCAGTGAATATAATCACCGCGTTTGACAAACACGGTGAACATTTCACCGTTTTTGAATAAAACGATGACGTGTACACCATTTTTGTTTAAAACGGTGAGTAACGAGTGAGTCATTCACCATTTTAATAAAACGCGGTGAAGTGCTCCCCGTTCTTCACGTCCACGATGAATGCGACGCGGATTGCTGATGTGGACAAACGCGGTCCATTCATCGTTTTAGACAAACACGGTGAATGCCCCGTGTTTGTTCACGTCAGCGATCCGCGTCGCGGGTCCACTCACCACAGCCATCGGATGCAGTGAGGCGCGGATCGTGGTTTCCTTCCCATATCCGACGCCTCACAGCACGCCACATCGCTCGATCCCCGTCAATCACCATTCTCGATAAAGGCGGTGAATTCACCGTCTTTGTCAAAGGCGGTGATGTCCCCCAGTAATTTTGCTCAGATCCCTCCCCTCCCTCACTATAAATAGAACCCTTCCCCCCTTTTCCAAATCACACCACCACATTTACACTTCTTTCTCCCTCAATCCATCCACTCTAGTCTCATTCTAAGTATGCTCTGTGGTTGCGGCTAAGTCCGATCTTCCACATCAGAAAGAATTACTAGAGTTATACCCTAAAGCCCCCGTCCCTTATAAACTCGTCGAACCTCTGTCCGGCTTCCGCCAAAAATGGACGAAGAGGCTCTTCGGGTAGGTTTTTTGTTTTTCTTTTGTGATTTTTTTAGTCGAAACAATTTGATTTTGTGATTTTTTTAATCAAAACAATCTGATTTCATTACTTTTTTTTATAGATGGGTGCCGAGATATACGAGCCTCGATTGTATATCCATTATAGCCAAAGAGATACGAGGTATTTAACCGATCAAGAAGCACATTGCTCCCGTGCTATTAGGGATAACAATCCGGTAAATTGATGATTTATTTTGTTTTATTATATTATTTTATAAGGTATTATTTTGCTTTCTTTAAACTAACAAATTGGTATTTTTCCTATTTTTTTGTAGGAATCACTTATTCCCGTCGTTCATAAAGAAGGGACCACACAAACTTGCCCGCTTGGCATAATCGGTTGGCGCCTTATATAGAGAGGACCGGGTTGGGTATGCTAAGGCATTTCATGCGGATCGAAATCGACAATGATCTGCTGACTACAATGGCGGAGCGATGGCCCTCAAAGACCGCGATCCTCACCAGGCTGCCGATTTCTGGAGAGGCCATCATTGGGAGCACTACCAAACCCGAAGGAGGTTGGGGGCCGCTCATTCGTGATCGTTTGGGCTTTGACATGCCGACCACCATAGCAATTCAAGGACGAGGGCATCCACCATTGAATGCGGGACAAGTGTCGGTCCCGTGGCTCGTTACTCACATCCAAAATGAGGTGGTCATTGACAACAAGACACCGGAAGATCAAGTGGAGCGCTATGCACGCATCTACCTCATTGGTTTGGTCGGTGGATTTCTGTTTCCTGACAAGTCAAACCGGTGGATTCAAGGCATATGGTTGCCATTGCTACTTGGTGATTGAGACGCAATAGGGGAAAAGAGTTGGGGATCGGCCGTGTTAGTTGGCGTATACCGAGAGCTGTGTACTTGCTCGAAGGTGGGAGCGAAACAAGCTGGTGCTGCGATGTTCATCCTCCAGCTCTGCGTATGGGAGCATCTTCCAATGTTCGCACCTCAAGACCCACGTCCATACCAGAGAGCAGATGATGGTCTACACTTTGTGCAAAATCCCCCCTACGGTGTCAAGTAAGTTCATTCCGTACTTAGTCTAATTTAAATTTATTCCAATGCTTAGCTAGATTTAAATTAAATTTATTCCGTACTTAGCCTAATTTAAATTTATTCCATGCTTAGCTATATTTAAATTAATTTTATTCCGTACTTAGCCTAATTTATATTTATTTCATGCTTAGCTATATTTCAATTAAATTTATTTCGTACTTAGCCTAATTTAAATTTATTCCATGCTTAGCTATATTTCAATTAAATTTATTCCTTACTTAGCCTAATTTAAATTTATTCCATGCTTAGCTATATTTCAATTAAATTTGTTCCGTACTTAGCCTAATTTAAATTTATTCCATACTCTTACTTACAAGGTGGATAGGAGCAAATACAAACGACCATCAACCTGAGCACTCTTTACTGTTTTATCGTTCTGAGTTAGATAAGCCATCGTGGAACCAGGTAATTATGCTTTATCATATTTTAACAATATAAATTCTTTCAATGTATGTTGCTCAGTTTTGGTTGCTGAAATTTGAAGAGGGAGAGGGATTACGTTAGTACAACAGCTGGTGGGAGTGGTATATAAAGGAAAATCGGCTAGCATTCACCGTTTTTGTCTCAAACGGTGAACAACATCACCGCGTTTGTCTCAAACGGTGAAGATTAGGTGGGAAACGTGGGAAACAATCACCGCCTTAACCTAGAGCGGTGAAGATGTTCCCCGCTTTGCCCTTAAACGGTGACGTGTTCACCGCTTTTAATTTACACGGCGATGTCTTCACCGTTTTTGTTTTACGCGATGAGCACTTCACCGCTTTAAGCAAAGACGGTGAACACAT